TGCTCGTGTGTACAGTAGGATGACTAATGGCTCTACACCTCCGAGCTGGGTGGAGGGTTGGGGTCACTCGGAGCAGTTTGTTGTGGGGGCAGGGCCCAGAGAGGGGGGTCCCCTTGCCACGGGGGGGATGCCCTGAGCACACCCACTCCTCAACAGCGTGGATGAACGAGCTGGGAGGGATATTTTAGCCTTAACGTTTGTGTTCCTGGTGTGTTTCTAATGGTGCTTTACATGAGTGCCCAGGGAAACAAGGGGTTTATTGGCTGCAGCATCTTCCTCCCGGGCTGACGGGACTTTTGAGGTGGATTTGGGATGGGGGAACCCGCCCTGTTCACTTGCAGGGAACATCACAGCTATGAGATGTATGAGCAAAACTCCCACCCAGATACAGGGGTGCAGCCAAATTCCTGGTGGGATCCCCTTGCAGGCCCATGCATCAGGCACTGGCTGTCGTGCCCCTGCAGCATGAATAATGCCACACACACACACGCCAACCTCTTCTGGCATGATCTCCATGTCCCGGCCTTGCCCCTGATATTTTTATGAATGATGAATAAATGATACGACAAGAAAAACCTCTCTGGCAGCTCAAGGCCTCTTTATTAATTCAGCAAGAGTGGGTTGTCTCCAAACCCAGTTCATCCCTCTGCTGGGTTTGGAGTGTTTTACCAGGCAAGCTGGGCTTGCTCGGGGGAGTTCCCGGAGCTGAGGGGATCCAGGAGGATGGGAGGTGATGTTCATGTGCCCACAGCAGCCGAGGGTACGCAGGAGGATGGGAGGTGACGTTCCTGCTGCCCCATTACCCATCCCAACAGCAGGACATGGCACTGAAGGTCCAGGATTTGAACCTCCTGCAAACCAACCTCTATGGAGAACCAGGGCTACGTGGATGGGTCCCTGCATCCCACACACCTTTGCTCCTGTCCCAAAGGGAGCGATGCAGCTCACCCCGTACAGCCCCAGCCCTGTGTCTCAAGCTGACACAGCCCAAGGTTTCTCTGCTCGAAGGTGGGTTTCTCACCCCCTGCAATAGCTCCTGCCAAGGGTTTGCACCGGGAGTGGTACAGTGGGAAATACATTCAGGCACCTGGGATGAAAAAGGGATGGGAGATTCACTGGCTTTAATATCCTGAAGCTATTGGGTGAGAAACAGTTTTTATTCTCCTTCGGGTGCAAAAGAGATCGATAGGCAGCAAAAAACCCCCATCCATCCACCACCTCCCAGCTCGCGCCGCAGTGATGCCGCATCCATCACTGTAATCGGGATTTAATAGCTCTGGAGGAACAGTCCTTCCCAGCTGCAAAGTCCTCCCGCTGCAGGTTTCCCCTGGGAATGAAGGACATTCCCTCGTCAGTCCCTGGAGAGGGACTTTGGACAAGGGGGAATGGCTTCCCACTGCCAGAGGGCAGGGTTAGATCCACACTGGGAACAAATTCTTGGCTGCCAGGGTGGAGAGGCCCTGGCACAGGTTGCCCAGAGAAGCTGTGGCTGCCCCATCCCTGTAAGTATCCAAGGGCAGGTTGGATGGGGTTTGGAGCAACGTGGGATAGTGGAAGGTGTCCCTGCTCATGGCAAGGGAGTGGAACTGAACGAGCTTGAAGGTCCTTCCAACCACACACAACTTCACCACCTGGGATGAGAGAAATTATTTCTCCGTCGGGCATGGAAAACAACTGCCCTGTCAGCACTTTTTCCCTCTGTCTTCTCTGTTTATTTACCAGGGTGCTTTTCCACTGGAGTGTTAAATACTGTATTAATAGGGGGATTTAATACTTCTCAGGCACTATTTAAGCAACATCTCCTCACCTGAGACATCACACGCTTCTCTAAGGCTCATTAAACAGCATCAGCCTCTCTTTGCCTCTCTTCCTGCAGTGCCAGCTCGGATCCTGCTTGGAAAAGCATTGCCAGGGGGTTTGCCATGGTAAAAGGAAATTGCAATGCCACCTGATCACAGAATGACACTGGAACATCACCCCAATTCCCTCATTCCCACCAGCACATCCCAAAGAGAAACGAACCCCGCTTGGCAAAAGAAGGGAACTGGAGTTTGGAAAAGGTATCGCTCATTAATTTTCCTGGCTGGAGACAAATCCTTCATGCCAGGTAGGGGTTTTTTAAGCAACATCCCTGTTTCATTTCCAATCTCTCTTAAACGACTCCTGAGCCACTGCCATAAACACCCCCCGCGCTTCCTTTCTGCCTCAGATCCCTGGTAAGTGCTGATGGATAAATTGGTTGCGTTGCCCGGGATAAATCACGCGGGAAAGCCAAAGCTGTAATTAAAATGTCTCTCAACCCCTCCGTTAACTCTGACTTAGCGAGATCAGATGCGTTGTGGCTGCAGGGAATAACCTGCTTGGGATCCAGCTCTGAAAAATGGGTTCCAGGAGGGAGAAACTGGCTCCGACTGTGCTGACTCCACATGGGAGTCCCAACTCCCTCGGGAATACCATGGCTCTCCTCGTCCCCCATCAAAAGAGTGTGGGACCAGCATCCATGGCACAAGTGAGAGTTTTTCAAGGCCTTTTATTTTCGACAAAGAACGAGCTTTCGAGCGTGCCAGGGCTTTGTGTTGGCTCTAACTTGCCCATGGAAAGCAAATTCCCTGAGCAGAGCTGGCACGGAGCGGGGTGGTTTCCCCATCCCAATTGTTGCACTGGGAGGAAACAAAAGGGAAATTCAATAAAAACTGTCTGTTCATAACAAATCCTAGATTTTTAAATGGATTTAACTCTTCTGGGGTTGTTGCCTCCCAAGAAAAGCTACGAGCAGACGCAGAAAGTGTTTTTTAAGATTCCCACTGCCTTTGGCTTCACTCCTTGCCTTCAGCAGCAGAGCAGCAGGAAGATCCAGCCCTGGGGCTGTTTCTGTGCTCTGCTTTCTCTGGGAAACTCATATATTCTGTTTGCAATGGTCTTAAAACCAGAAAGCAGCTCAGTCAGGTTGCTCTGAGCTTTCCAGCTGAATTCAGGTCTGGCCTGGCAATTCTGAGGCCAAAAATTGGGTTTTTGGGGGCAGTGTAGGAGATGGATCCTGCTCATCATCCCGTGGGAACAAGCCTACATAGAAAATGGTGTTTCTTGCAGATCCTTCCTCTCTGGAAAACAAAACTGACTCACAGTGCAGGGCAGTGTGAGTCACCCTGGGGTCCAACCCACCCCACAGGGATCCAGAGCATCCCTGCGGCCTGCAGGGACATGACCCCCTCCTCATCCCCATCCAAGGGGATAACAGGGACAGGCAGGGGCATCATCCATCCCATCCATCCCACCGCACAGGGTATCCAGAGTATCCCCACCTACAGGGATGTGGCCCTATCCATGTTCCCATCCAAGGGGACAAGAGGGACAGGCAGGGGGATCACTCATCCTACCCCAGGGTGGAGTATCCAGAGAGTCCCTGCCTGCAGGGACACGGCTCTGTGTCCCCATCCAAGGGGACAGCAGGGGCATTATCCATCCTATCCCATCCCATCCCATCCCATCCCATCCTCCAGCCCATGCAATCCTCAGAGGGAGGCAGCAACAAGGCTCAGCATCTCTATTCCCACCTCTCTCTGGAATTAGGTCAATAGAAAAAGCAGGAAACCTTTATTTAATATTGATGAGGCAAATGGAGTTGCCATCGACCAGCACCGGGAGAGACTCGCCCCGGTGCTTCCCAAAATATGCTGCCAAATGGGATTTTGGGGTTGTTCCTCACCCATCCAGGGGGTTTGGATGCACACTCAGCCTCACCTGATCCCAGGAGGGATGAAGCAAACATGAGTGAGCTGCCAGCTCTCACTGCCAGGTCCTTCACACGCTGCATCCCTCTTAAATCCCACTTTCCCAGCTGCCAGGTTCACCATTAGCCAGGAACAGGCGGAGAAGGATTTGGGGGCTTTCAGGAATGGAAAAAACCCCACAGCCGACCAGCCCTATCCCTGCCTGGGTCTCATCACATAGGATTAAGAAGAGGATGGATGGTTTCCTCCCCAAAAAACCCATCACCTGGACAGCCCCAAAAGCAGGATGGCACCTGGGGACAACAGGGACAACTAAGTTCCTCCTGGGGGGCTTTATCCCAGGCCAAAGCACAGCACATCCTCCCGGGAACAGCAGCTCACACTTCAGAAGGGCTCATCACCCTGGAGCCACCTAAGGAATATTTTCCCTGGGCTTCCACAGCTAATTATGATTTTCTCCCTCACCAGCCTCAAGGGCTCCTTTCCCTGCATAGCCCAGGCTGCATTTTGCCAAAAAAAAACCCCTCAAATCTGCCCAGATAAAAGCCCCAGGAAGCTCCCAGCCGGAGCAGACATCCCCAGGGATGCTGTGGCACCATCTCAGGACCTTCAACGATGTCCTAGACCTGGGGACAACTCATCCCACTGCCTGCCAAGGACGAGTTACCCGAGGGGTGGTTAATGGCTTCATTCCCCCAGCCCAGCGCTGGGCACTAAATAATATTAATGGCACCTCCTGGCTCCTCGTTAAAACTTGCGCCAGCACTTAATTCAGGCCGTAGATCAAACCCCTCAATGAAATCACCATCCATCCCCTCCCTAATCAGAGGCTGAGACCAGCACACGTTCCCTCGTCTCGCCTTTAGGAATATTTTCCTATTGGAATGCAGAGCTTGGCTTCATGATGGGGAAGGACAACTAAAAATAGTCCCTCACAGGTGATTTAGGGAGGTCCCTTCCTCACCAGGCCCTGTCAGAACCCACTTGCATCCCAGCACTGGGATTAACCAGCCTGAATTCTGGAGACATCTTAGACAGATGACAGCATCCCTTTGGGATTTTCCTCTTTATTCCACTGCTTGAGGGATGAGAATAAAGCAGAGGAATAAGGGCAGGCATTGGCCGTTTGCTCCCCATGCTGGGGGATGGATGAGGGCAGCTCAGGTGGGGTTGAAAGGGGAACATGAAGGTTTTGCTCTGGGAATTCCAATCTTCAGACTATTTATGTCCAAAGCTGCATCCCAGAGACCACACCAAGCCCGGAAAGCATTGGCCAAAACAACCCCAAATTTATTTGTCAAGGCACAATAATCCCTTCAGATTCTGGACTTTAAATAATGACTAAAACCAGCAGAAGAGCCATCGGGGACTTCTCCACCCCTGAAGCAGGACCAGGGATGTGCCACCTCATTCACCTCGGCAGTTTGGGTGCCCCCACGCCCCCAGCAGCAACAGGAGGACCCCCAGGACATGCACAAGAGCAAAACCCCACAATCCCATGGGGGAAACGGGTGCTTCGCCCCATGCCCTGGCCAAGTTTGGCCCAACCAGTGCTTCAGCCCCCAAAGCATCAGCTCTGTCACCACAGAGAGGACAGCAGGGCCTCACCTGGCCAGCAGGTGCCCCCCAAGGCCTGCCCTTCCCAAAAAAACCCAAGTACTAGGCAGGAGGTAACCACCCCAATGGGATTTTGCATTTAAGGCAAAAATATAAGTCCAGTGGGAACCACAGTGTTGCAAAGTGAAAAATCAATTATCCCCACACATCCCTGGAGTGGTGCCTCCAGGGGGGCCAAGAGCACCATGCCTGGGGACCCCTGGGTCCCACCCATCTTCCCAGAGCCTCCAGGGCTCCAGCAGTCATTCCCAGAGACCTTGCTGAGCCCATCACCCCTCTCAAGGCCTCTGGGCTTGGGAAGGGCAGTGAAACGTGCCCTGGAAGGCACCTGGAAGGCGGCTGGCTCAGCTGTGCCCACGAGGGAGGAGGTGCAGGGGGTGCCTGGGGGGAGGGGTGACGCCGGTTGTTCTCAGTCCCACGTGGGGATGGACAGGGAAGATCCTCCATCCCACACACACCATCCCTGGGAGGGACACACCAGCCTTCAGAGCTTGCCAGGGATGAAGAGACGCAGCCTCTCCGCAGCCCCAGGGCACTCCAAAGAATGGCCAGGGAGGGAGGAAGGTGATGGGACCCGGGATGAGGGGTGGCAGCAGGTCTGTGTCCTCCCAGGGGACCCGGACCTTGCCCCCACTGGGGACATCTCAGCTGGTCCAGGGCACAGGGCACTGCCCTGTCAATCAATTTCTTGCTCGTTATCTGGGAAGGAAAAAAAAAAAAGACTAAATAAATAACTGACAAACATAATAAAAAAGAATAACAACTCACAGGTCTAACTTCAACCAAGTTCACTTGGTTGCAGCAGCTCTGGGCTCTCCTTGCCCAGGAAAACTGGGATCCCCACTCCCAAGGGTGATGTCAGCCTCAGGCAAATACTACCAGGCACATTTAGGTGTGTTTTTATCCCTTCATTCATCCTCCCGGCTAAAAATGCCCCTGCAGCCAGCAAATCCTGGGAGGTGTTATTATCCAAGCTTTGTTCCTGCTGCAAAAGTGGTCGAGGAGCCAGTGGGAGATGTCTGGCACATGGGGTTAAGCAAACAGGACGCACTGGGAATGAAAAGCCAAGGGGCCAGGAAGCAGAGCACAGTTGAATGAAAGAGGAAGGAAGGGTTAAATTAGCAGTGATTCACCAGCAGCAGAGGCCAAGCCTCTGATTTAATAAGAAAGGAAATAAATTAAAAGATTGAGATCTGGGGATGGGAATGAGTCGGGGAGAAGCAGGACTGACCAGGCACAGAGAACGCTGGAGCCCAACACCAGGCTGGGAGGGGTGATGGGCTGCTGGCAACACCAAGCCAGGTGGTTGGGAGAAGATAGAGAAAGGCAGAAACAGGAGCTGAGACACCAATTTCCATGGATTTCCACCTGAAATTCAGCACCAGTCTGCTGCTGGGGAATTCTGTATGGGGAGGGATGGAGCTCCCTGCAAGGGCAGGACCAACCCCAGCAATTCCTCTTCTCTCAGCAAACCGATGGCAACGCTCAAAAAAACCCCAAATTCCTCACAGTGTCCTGAGTTGGTGGCAGGAGGGTGCCCAAGAAAAGGAAGGGTAAGAGAAAAAACATCCTGTGGAAGCCACTGGCTGCCTCACTCCATTACTGCTGGGAGACACAAGCGGCACCCAGAGCAAGCGCAGGCCAAACTGGGGTGGGAATGGGTGCTGGGAAATCACTGATCTGGGAAAATCTGATGGAGAACGGGGGTGGAAAAAGACGAAAATTGTAAACACAGAGGAAAAAAAAACCCAAAATCCAATAGATGGTTTCCACATAGATCTAAGCACCACCCGAAGATGATGCTTAGGGTGAAACCTTCACCAGGGGCCAGTTCATGGTCCTGCCAAATCCACTCACCCTCTTTGCTCTCCGCGCTTTTCAGTAGCTGCAGAGCTGTGAAAAGCAAAACAGCACACGGTCAGTCCTTCACCCCTGCAAGGAAACACTTCCCCAGAGGAAATAGCTAAAAACCCCACTTTAGGGAACCCACCCCAATAATGACACCAATTTCCATCTCAATCCAACCCCTGGTCCCTAAATCTCCCCAGCAGCCGAGACAGCATCCCAAGTGGGGTTGCTCCTGTGCCAGCAGATAAAGGCAATCACTGGGCATATAATTAAACTGTTTGATGCTTTTTTATCATGGGATAGACTGGCTTATCAGGGAGCTGCCAGGTGAGGGATGTGCCGGAGAAAGGGGAGCATGGGGGGGGGCTGAGCACCGATGGAGGGGTAGTAAAATGCACTCCCTATATAACAAACCCTCAGGGTTATTATATGGGACCATGCACCCACCTGTCTTGGGTTCTTCCCCTTCCTCATCCTGCTCCTCCGTCCCTGCAAAAGAGCAAGACAGAGTGTGGGAAACATGCCAGCACCCACCCTGAACCCCACCTCCCCGGATTTTGGGGATGCCCCTTGGATCGCCGGCTGCTCGGAGCAACCCGCAATCACCGCGTATCCCGGGGTTTGCTCGGGATCAGGTGCTGCTGAGCTGCTGGGGGTGCTCAGGGAGGTGACTGGCACCCACCTGCACCAGCACCCCATGGGGGTATTCCCCCAGCACACGCTGTGCCAGCGTGGCACATTCCCTACAAGCGAAGCAGGAAAAGGCACAGCTCCAGGCGACGCAGCGCAGCCGTCGCATCCCTATTTATAGCACGGCTGCCATCTGGAGCAACACTCGGCGAGGGGCTTAGTGGGACACCACGGATCCCCCAGCGCCTCCGGGATACCCCAACACCGAGGGATGAGCATCCCCCTCCTACAGCACCCACCAGGCTGCCACCCTTGGAGCCCAGGAGCTTTCACACCCCACGGGCAAGTCCTGCCACGCTGCTGCTTCCAGCAGGAAAGCCCAGCAAAAATCGCTGTTCCCACCAGCCTGGCAGCCACGGGAGGCAGGAAGGGTCCCTGCCTGGCTTCTGGTTGACCAAGAGCCACGGCAAAAGGTTATTCCTGAGGGTGTGCAGCCATCAGTGGAAAACATCACGGGTGGGGTGGGAGATGTGTCTTGATGCTAAAGGACTGAAGTCAGCTGGCCCCAGGCCACGGCTGAGCGTCACGGCCCTGAAAATCCCCCGGCTGAGGAGAAAATACTCTGTACAGAGGGAAAAATATTACATATATATATAAAAAAATACATCTGTAACTTCTGCAGATGTTTTCCTGGAGAAAAAAACCCCTCTGTCCCCACTGCTGGGGACACGGACAGCCAGGGATCACGGTGGCATTGCTTCCAAGGTCCTTCCTGGCAGGGAGAGGAGTGAAGTAGGAGCCCTCGGGGAGGGAGACTGCGGGTCCCGGCCCCGCAGAGGGATGTCGGCAGGGAAAGGCTTTGGCAGAGCGAATGCCTCGGGAGGCAGCGAGAGAAAACAACCGGGAACGCCAGCAAAGCTGCTTCCTCGGCCATTTTCGGAGCACGGCAGCTTTTTAAAGCAACAAACCCCCCCTTTTTGTGCAAACACGTCTCCATAAATAAAAAAACCAACCCAAACAGGAGGAGGATGCAGGAAACAAGAGCACAGAGCATCTCTCTTATGCTATTTCTGTGGTGCTAAGTGCTAGAGGCACCTCCCTGGAGAAGATGCTCCTGGTTGTGGGTACCAGACACACGGAGGATGCTCAGAGCACAAAAAGGGGGAGACAGGCTGGGTGGGAGGAAAGCCAGGTATAAATTTGAAAGAGCTGCCTGCAGCCAGCACGGGCTCTGTGGCCCAGATCTGCTGGTGCCAGCACCCCCAGCATCCCTTCATCCTTTAAAAGACGCCACCACCAAGGCAAACCTGTGCTGGTTAACACTTGTCCCAGCTCCCCCCATTCCATCACCCTCGGCAAACCATTCCCCCTTTCTGGGGGAAGTAGCTGCCCCATTACCTGCGTTTTCCTCCTCTTCCTCGCAGCTCTCCCGGATTTTCTTGTGGCACACGTAGGCCAGGACGACGAGCAGCCCCAGGACGCAGATGGCGAGTCCCACTGTGACCCAGAGCGCGGCAGCGGGGAAGGCGAGGTGCTGGCCTTGCAGGGGAGGGGACACACAACACCTGGGTGAGCACCACCGCCCAACCAGGGAACGTGCATCCCACACCAGGACCCCACGGTGCCGGGGGAATGTCCCCGTGGAGGGAGTTGGTGGCACAAGGGTGGCTTTGGAAGGCAAACCATCAGTGCACAGAATTATGGCCTCCCCCAGCAGGCCTGGATCCGGCAGGGAGGCAGCAGGTTGAGTCACTCCCTAAAATACTTCATTAAATCTTTGTATAATTCCATTAATAAACTCAACTGCAGGCTGACTCTTCCCTTGCTAAGAAGCTCAGGAGAAGCATCAGATGATCCTGCACCTGCTCCCTTTCCCCTGTCATCTCATGCCAGGGGGGCATGAAGGATGGGAATACCTTCCTCAGGATGTGGAATCATAGAATGGCCTGGGTTGGAAGGGACATTAAAGCTCACCTCATTCCACCCCCTGTCATAGGCAGGGACATCTTCCACTATCCCAGGTTGCTCCAAGCCCCATCCAACCTGGCCCTCAACACTTCCAGGGATGGGGCAGCCACAGCTTCTCTGGGCAACCTGGGCCAGGGCCTCACCACCCTCACAGGGAAGAATTCCTTCCCAACATCCCATCTAACCCTGCCCTCTGGCAGTCTCAATACACTGTCCCTTGTCCTGTCACTCCTGGCCCTTGTCCAAAGTCCCTCTCCACATTTTTGGGGGTTCCTTCAGAAACTGGAATAACATGGCAGGGACCACCAGGGCTCAGGGGGTATTTCCTGGAGTGCTGGGAATCAATTTTTCCCCATATTACTGCTCCTTCTTCAAATACAGTCTTGCCCCAAGCCCTGCCCCTTCACAGATGTCACCCCAAGGTTGACCTTTTTTTTGCATGCTCAGGAGCCCATCCAAAAACCACCCCCCTGTCCCCAACCAGCAGCATCCACGCAGGTTTTCCTGCAAGAGTTTGGTGCATCCAGCTAGAAAGTTTATGCTCCACCAGAGATCCACCTTCCTAACCAGCAAATGCTGTACCAAGAGTAATTAAACACTAATTAATGCTATTGGGGGGGGCAAGAGGTTATAAGGAGCTTTGAGAGGGCAGCGGGCAGAGCTCAGAGGCGAGGCTGAGCGTGCTTGATGGATTCCTCCAGCCTGTATTCCTGAAGTAGGATTGGTGCAGCTGGGATGGAGATCCCCAAATTTAGAGCACCCCATGGCAACGGGCTAAGGAGAAGACACCTGCCATACCCTGTGCTGATGGACTGGCACAGGGCAAGGAGCAAAGCTGGAGACTAAGAACTAAGGACACTGGTTCTTACTGGGATGCTGGTGTGGGGTGACAGGGGGGACAGCACAGCCTCGAGTCACCCTTGTGGGTCCATGGGGGAGGTTGGTAGAGCAGGGACATAGTGTAGCAACACCCAGGGTGGCTTTGGGCCACAGTAGGGATCCCAGATCCCAGTGCCACCACGGTCACCTTCTGCAGACAGAGCCCAGCCCTTCCTTCCCCCAGATTTGGTGGCTCACCCACCCGTGATGGTGACGGACGCGTGGCCGTGCTGCTGCAGCACCAGGTTCTGCACCAGGCAGGAGTAGGTGATGCTGGGCTCCACCAGCACCTGGAGGACGCTGTGCACGTCAAAGAGACCTTCCTCGTTGGCCACCTGGGACGTGGTGATGTTCTCCGTGATGTTGCTGCCCCGGCTGTCCTGCCAGAGCACGCTGGCCTCGGGGTAGCCGCGGGAAGCGTGGCACGTCACGACGGCCAGGTCACCCGGCTTCAGGTCCTTGCTGGGCTCCAGGTGCACACTGGGCTTGGAGTAGGGAGCTGCAAGGGAAAGGACAACCAGCACGATGTGATGGAGACAACCAAAGGATCAGGATCGGGAGCAACTCAATGAGGTTGGGCAAGACCCAGGACAGATTCTTCCAGCTGATAAGACCAATCAGCTGAAGGCTCCCCAACTTTGCATCATTTATGGCCGTGCCTCCAAGTGTTCTCTTAACTGGGAGCTTCTCCATGATGACAGGAAAGGGACTGTAACCCACACAGCAATATTTTGGGGAGGTGCAGCTGGTTGGTCTCTAACAGAGACCTAAATTCATAGGGAAACCACAGCAGGGGTGGAGAGAGGGGCTCCACAAAGTGTGATGGAGACCCCTTCCTGCTGGGGAGACACACGGGGACAGCCCAGCTCTCCCTGCCTCACCTGCCACCTGCAGCGTCACCGCGGCGCTGTTGTAGTCGCGGACGCGCACGAAGCAGGTGAAGCTGCCCTCGTCCGCGATCTCCACGCGCCGCAGCAGCAGGGACACGTTGCCCTGGGGCAGCTGGTCGTAGAAGAGAGACGTACGGTTGGTGTAGACCCTGCCCTGGTCTTCCAGCTGGTCCCGGCCACCGGAGAACCTGTGGACCAAGCGCTTGGTGTCTGTCAGCTGCCAGATGAGGCTCAGGTCGTCCAGGCTGAAGTTGGCCTCGGGGGAGAAGGAGCAGCGCAGGGTGGCGTCCTGGCCAAAAAGAGCCACCACGGGCTCATCCGGGACCTGGATCTCCATGGCACCTACAGGAGGGTGACAAGGGCAAAAGCACGGGGTAGTGGGACCTGCAGAAGCACCTCCTTAAGCTTCCACCTGGGTAACATCTAAGCAAATGGAGGGATGCCCACGGGAGGGACCTGTGGGCAGGTGGCATCTCAGGACCGTCGCCAGCCAAGCCCACCCTGCCAGGAGGGAGACAGCCCCACATCCAGCACCACACCAGGGGCACCAGTGCCTTCAGATGCCAGACACAGCCACGGGCACCCAAACCTGCACCCCTCAGGATGCATAGCCTGGACTGTCCCCATGGGGAGGGGAGGTCAGAGGGTGACAGCAGTGGGGACACAGTACCGTGTCCCCAGGATGAGCCAGCTCTGGCCAGGCTGGCAGGCACTAGATGGCACCAGTGCTCCAGCACGATGCCATGTGTGTGGCATGGCATGGTGCCAACCTCATCCCAGTGCCACGGCAAGATGCCAACCAGTGTGCCATGGCATGGTCCCAAACTCATCCCAATGCTCCAGCACGATGCCAGCCATGTCCCAGTCCCACGGCACAATGCCAACCCTACCACAGAGCAATACCAGCTGTGCCAGGGCTGCTGGACCTGAAGCTGGTCCTGGGGTGCCTGTTGGCACCAATGTCCCCCAAAGCAGACCCCAATCCCAAAACAAGGAGGAAAAGGGAGGAAATCTCACCTCAGACTATGGATTTACTTTATATTTTAAGCTCAGCACCACTGCAGAACACGGCAAAGCCCTTCCCACGAATACCTCCCATGGGACAAGGGCAGCAATGAGGCATTAAATTTGAGGCAAGAGACTGCGTGGGGAGGATGAGGAGATGTGAGGGAGGATGAGGAGCTGCAGGAAGGAGCCGGGCAGGAGGAGCCCTGCCAGGGGCTGCAGACGGACAGACAGGCAGGACAAGAGCATCGGGCAGCCTGCCTGGCTCCAGGGAGACTCCAGAGTGTCACGTCTCCCTACAGCTAATAATAAATGCCAGTGGGTTTTAGGAACCAGCCTGGCCAGAATCACTGCTGGCTGTGAAATCCAAAAGGATTCAGTCCCAACGTCTCTCCCAGGTAAGTCGAAACCTTCAGGATTTACTCCTCCCCTGGCTTTGCCATTCAGCTGTAGCACATGGAAGGAGGTGTCCCCTGCTACCACAAGTGCCACCACAAGCCATGGCCAGGGTGATGCCCTGGGTAGCCAGAGGACCACAAAACAGGAAAAACACCTTGGGGGAGCTGCCACCAGGAACCACAGGGCAAAGGCAGCTTTGTTGGGATAAACATGGCACTCAGGACATGTCCTTTGGGGTGGTGACACGCTGACCCCCCCTCAGCCCTACTCACCTGCCAGTACTCCCAGGACAAGCACCAGGAAGAACATCCTCGGTGGAAGCAAAGTCTGGATAAGAAAGCAGGAGCAAGCACAGCCCCGGGAGTCCTCACAGGGAGCCTTCTCTCCTGGAACAAGAGCCCTGAGCTGAAGAAAACCAGAAGGAAACACTGAGATGGTGCTGGGAACCAGGGACAAAGAGCAAGAGAAGGGAGGAGACCAGCATCAGGCCGGGGATCCCACACCAGCCATCCCCACAGAGCACCCGCCCCGCCACAAAACCTGGGAGGGGGTTCACCTCCAGCCTGGCACCAGCCAAGGGATTGCTGCATCCCCAGCATTGGGGAGCCGATGGAGCCGGAGGCAGCTCTTGTGCTGGAGGCGTTGGCCGGTGCCCTGGGGAAGCCACGTGAGCCTCTTCCCTTCCTCCCTGCTTCTCCTCCCCTTTGTTTCTCTCTTTCCCAGCTTTTCCCCGCAGCATCGGGCTGTTACATCCCTGTCCTCCAAGAGGAGGCAACTCGCTCCCAGCGTCCAAAATTGCTAAAAACTAAACAGAAGAAGCTAAACAGGAGAGGTTTGCAGACTCCTGGCTCCGCCAGCAGCTGGAGGGCTGGGAGGTTCATCCCTGTTCAAGGCAGAAAAATCTCCGGCATGAGGTTGTCCCAAAAAATGGGGAATAGAGCCAGAGCGTCTCAGAGCTGGATGTGGGGAGAGGTGAGGGCAAGCTGCCCGGCACCGCTGGCTACTCTGGCTGCATTCCCGAGCATCCCTCCCGGCCCTGCCAAGAGCTCGTGACCCACGTTCCTCCCTCACAGCAGAAATGAGCCCCAGATATCACAGCTCAGAAATGAGCCAACGGCGCCGCTGCCGTGTCCCATCCCTGTCCCAGCACATCCCAGAGCTCCCCTGCTCCGCCCGGAGCCTTCAGCACCGACACAGCCAAGTTTGAAATAAATCAGTGTTGCGGCACCAGTTTCCTGGGTGGCAGCGGGAACAACATGGGCCATTGGCACCTTATTCCTTAAAACCCCCTCAGTCAGGGAAAAGGCAGCCCCGAAGCTTTGGTCAGCTCAGCTCCCACGGGGGAAACTGAGGCACAGGGAAAAACTGAGGCACGGGGAACGGGGGTAGCTGAGGCACAGTTTTGCCCCAAGATCTCTGAGGGGCATCCCCTCTCCTTCCATCCCACGCACGAGGCTCTTTGGAGAAAATAAATTATCCAGCTTTTCTCTTAAACCTGACTCTTGCCTTTTCCCAAGTGCACAAGCCCAGAGCCAGCCTTGTGCTCAATCCCAGGCAGCCGGGAAGGGAGGGAGCTGTGGTAGGAGAGGGTGATGGGGCATCACTCAGCTGCCCAGACGAGGGAAACCATGACTCATCTCCCTTGGAGTTCTTCCCTTTTCCTGGGGATGCTAAAATAAATTATATTTTACGGGTTTCGTGACCTACAAGTCCTGCCAGACCCACTCAGAGGTGTCACGGGAAGGGGACACCCATGTCCCCAGTCCTCCTTCTGCAGCTGGGAGTCTTGCCTTCCGTGACTCAGTTTCCCCATTCCTGTGGTGTCATCCCGGGACAAAGGATGGGCTCTGCCCCAGACCTGAACTTCTGTCACAAACTGGGATGTAAGGAACTCCACAAACACATTCCTTGGAAGAGGAATGCCCTTGTGAAGGCAAGCCAGGATGGCTGAATCCTCCAGAAACTCAAGGAATAACTAAATCCCCCTAGGAATCATACCTCTCCCTTCCCTATTTTTTATTTACTATCACAGAGCTTTTTTATAATACCCACGTTATCAGCTGCCAAATTATCACCCTGAGGTGTGAAGAAAACATCTACAGATCCAGGAATATGTCCTCACCTCCCAGTCCAGATCAATCCCAACTTTTGGGGTGCCTGGGCTGAGCCCCCCACTCTGCTCCTCTCCTGCCTGTGGTTTGTGCCAGCCAAGAGCCCAGCTCTGCTCTAGACTATTTTTAGTTGCTGCTCGACTTCTGGGTGCACAGCAGCAGCTCCTCACTCGGGACTCTGCGGGGATGGGGGACATGGCAAAGCGGGGGTGGAAAGATGGGGTGCAACCCTCAAATTCCAGGTGCGGATTCAGGGCGTGATGTTTGGAGTTAGGGAGGGACAAGGATCTGGGGTGTGATACTTGGCAGGAAAAAGGGATGAGGATTCAGGGTGATACTTGGTGGCAAGAAGGGATGAGGATTTGGGGTGATACTTGGCGGGAGGATGGAACAAGGATTCAGGGTGATACTTGGTGCCTGGAAGTGACAAGGATTCAGGGTGATACTTGGCAGGAGGAAGGGACAAGAATTTGGGGTACAATACTTGGCAGGAGGAAGGGACAAGGATTTGGGGTGCAATACTTGGCAGGAGGAAGGGATGAGGATTCAGGGTGATACTTGGTGGCAGGAAGGGACAAGGATTTGGGATACAATACTTGGCAGGAGCAAGGGACAAGGATTTGGGGTGATATTTGGCAGGAGGAAAGAATATAAATTCGGGGTGATACTTGGTGACAGGAAGGAGAGGGGTATCTCTTGTCTCAGCCCAGAGAAAAGGGGAACAATCGCTTCCCCTCGGGATTTTGTCCCACGCGTGGGGTGCGTTCAGCCCAGTACATTAAACAGGGCGGTTTAAATCGGATTTCTAAGCATGCCGGGATGCCGCCTTCCCTAAATCCATACTCGCCATGGGAAGCGACGGGGCCACCGCCTGCCCCCCGGGACTGCCCGCACCGAGACGGGGGGACCCCGACACCCCCCCTCAACATCCGCCGGAGCTCTCCGAGCCCCCCAGCCCCGGCTGCGCTGTGTCCCCCCGGCGGGGCTCGGCTCGGGGGGAGCCCCATTCATTCCGCCCTCCCGGAACACCGCCCGGGTCCCGCGCCCCGGCCCGCGGGAGGGGCAGCGGGGGCGGTGGCGGCGGCTCCTCCCGCGGGGCTGCCCCGCTCCTGGCCGGACCCCCGGCACCCCCCGAGCCCCCCAGCCCCGGTGCGGTCCCAGCACCGCCCCCGGGCCGGGCGGGCCCCCCCGCACTTACCGGGCAGCGGCGGCGGCAGCGCGGGGTCCGGGCGGCGGCCCCGGCCCGATTGGCTGCGGCCGCTTCCTGCCGGGAACGGCGCGGGAGGAGCCTGGAGCGGGACACTGGGGAGAGCGGGGCTGGGGATCGGGGAGCACAGAACTGGGGGATTGGGGAGCCTGGAAC